GGAAGGATGCCGCAACACAGGAAACCCAAATTCAAGAAGCTGCCCATGGTCAAAGTGGAGATTAGTGACCCTAACCCTTGAGTCATGTGATGAGACGACAGGAATGCCAACGATGGACTTCCGGAAAGCGCCTAACGATTCTTGGATGAAGACCAATGTGTCATCCCCCTCTTGAGAGGGCCCATAGTAAAAAGAAGGATCATTTCGCCTATAGGCAGAACCCCCAGCCATGGCGAACGCGTGGCCAGCGTCCTCGCTGCCATCAAGCTCATGCTGGAGCTTGAGACGCTTCACCTCGCTGCGTCCGACGCGACAAGCCGCGTCGATCGGAGTGGGCTCGTAGATATTAGACCAGGGGCCCCAGAAACTATCAAAAACCTGGTGTTCCCTAGCAAAAAGGCTGGTTTTTGTATGTGAAAACCTTTGTTTTTGAGGGTTTTGAGGGCCCCTAGTAGATTATGTTATATTTGCTAACCAAGCACCTCATCCAAGGAATCGGGGTGGGAGGAATGGGAATGGGTACTTATAGGGGTCAGGGGTCATTCCCTCATTCCCTATACCAGTCAGCACTTGTTGCATACATTTGAGATGACTAAAACTACCGATGACCTTCCCTGTGCGGGGTTGTTGTTTGGACATGTTGGCCTCGGCATCCAAGGTGAAGTTCTGCTTCCGCATGGCTTTCTTGCTCAAGCTCCCCGCACGAGACAGGTCGGCCTTCAAATCCAAGGAGGTGCCGATTTGCCACGCGACCACCAGGTGCGAGTCATGCACTCCACAGGACATGCAACTGGTCAAGACATTGGAGAAGACCAGTTGCAGCTCCTGGATGGGTGGCTTGCAGGATGCCAGGTTTGGGGATTCACCCAGGTTTCCGGGAAAAAAATTAGATTATATCTTTCCCGGGCTTTGGGGATTCACTCCAGGAACCGGGAAAATCATGAAAAATCCAAAAAAGGTCAGCCAGACCAAGTCGTTTGACGGGAAAATCCCACAAATGCATGGCACCTCGAGAAGCTTCCCCAGATCAGTAACATCGAACCCCAAAACCCACGTCGGTGACCGTCGGAAAACGGTCGACACCACGGGCGTCGAAATGGAGGTTTCATGAGAATCGTTGGCGCGGGTTCGCGTGGTGGTGGTTTTTTGAATGGTCCATGCCCTGGAACTGCGCCGGCGTCATCACGTGGCCCGACAGCCTCAGTTGGGGCTCCGGTCATCACATCCGACCGGCTCCGTTCACGGCCCACCTCCCCAGGTGTGCGCCCTCCGGTCGACCGAACGCCGTGGAACGGAGCCGGAGGGTCAGATCACCGGTGAAGATCGGACACCTTCTTGGGGACGCCAGAAGACCACGTGGGAGAAGAGAAGACATGCCAAAGACGGCCCAAACACGTGGCCTTACATCAACTAAAAAGAAACGACATGGAAGCTCCAGAAGAAAACTTGAAAAAGAATAACACTTGCAGCTCCTCGACCTGTACTGTTTGCACGTTCTGCAAGCACAGCTGTGCGGTGCCCTCCTCGAAGGGGATCAACTGGCTCTTCATCAACCGGATCTCCACACTGGGCAGCTGATCAAATTTCACCCCAGGCACTTCGACGGTGAAGTCCCACGTGGGTGAATATGCAGCGCTGGCCGGTGGGGAAGCAAAACGCTGCTCGTTCCGTAGACCTTTGTTGCAAATGACCTCCACAAAGGTGGCCTCGTGTGGCAGGCTGCGGCCGTGATGAACGCAAAGCCGAAGCCAGTTCGTGCCGAGTTCCTCTTCTTCGAAGTCTTCAGCAGAACAACATGCTTGTCCACAGGTGAAAGCGAGGGTGCTGGCTTCGTTCTGGACTTCCTTTGCAATGCCAGTGACATTTCCGAATGCTGACTTCATTTGCTGCTCAGCAATGGCCCCTTGCAAGCCCAGCAAGGCTTGACCCGCCACCTGTTGAGCCATGGCAACCAAGCTTGGTCACGTTTTATGTCCAAGCCGAGGCTACAACAGAATATCAAGACCTAGAATTGAAGGAGTAAAAAAAAATCCAATCCTTCGCCTGCGAGTCAACTACTACCAATGTAAGATTTTTGGGGCGCCCTCGTCATGGCCTGGCCATGCCTGGCATAGCCGCGTATCGCATTAGCCACAAGCGAATTCATTGATTGAACGGAAAGGTCTGAAATCATGAAAGGAAAGGTCTGCCAATCCGACGATACAGTTCGTTGACCACTTTGGGCCAACCTGAAGCCAACGAAAAAGGTGAAGCCACATGCACTACGTGGGTGTGAATGCTTGACATCTGCCTCAGGTCTCTGGTGTTTTTCAGCCATAAAGAGTAGCCTCGGAAAAAAAAAAGAACTGATGCACTTACCAGCAAGCTAAATCCAACATCTGCTCGCTGCAAGCAGGAACATTTTTTCGAGAGAAACCGACCTTCATTGCTCACAAAACGCACGAGAGCGCATGAGCGACTTGTTTTTCGTGCAAAATGCACATGGAACTGGTGTCCCAGCTCACATCTCTCGGAACTCACATCTCCAAGAACTGACATCTCTGTTGAGAGGGAGGAACGAAAGGAACGAGAATGAGAACATCATTTCTCATCTTTCCAAGCACCGCCTGACCTCTCACTGCTCCCCCACTCAAAGGAGACCGCCTCAGGAGCTTGGTAGGTTGGATGAACGAAATGGCTCTCTGCTTTGGTGTCATGGTTGACAAGTACAACATCAAGTTCCAACTAGCAAGCCTCCCAATGTGTTCAGGACAATTTCGGAGTGATGCCATACTTGTATGTTTGTTGTATGTCCCCATATCTTTACAGGACTTGAGTTGAAAGAAGAACTACAAAAACAAGTTTTGAAAGGAAGCGCGGCGATGATTTCTGTCTGTCCCCGTATTATATGTATATATTAGTGCACTTGTAGTAGAAGTAAAGCCTTGACATATATTGCCGCGGGAATCATGTGAGTCTAACCTCATCCATCTAACGTTCTTATTTCTGGTATCCATCTGCCCATAAATGGCGAGCCGTCTCAATGCATGACCGTTGCCGCCCTCATTCTCTCCCGGCATCGTTCATCGGATGAATCCGCTGCAGGCTGAACCAGATCAATCACAGAATCGTTGGACTCAAATGTTTGATGAAAAGAAGAAGTCGACACCTGCAGTGGATAAGGACACCAAGCTGGATGGCTAAGCTGGATAGACCTACTCGCGCATTCAGCTTTGAACTCCCCTGAATGCTAGACTCATACATCCAAACAATGCTTCTTTCTTCACATCCTACTGTTTTGAGCATGTTCCGTCCACCGCAGTCAGGACCTGGCCTAGTGCATCGAAACAGCGTGCGCAGGCGGACCTGGCCGGTGCACTGAAAGTGTTTGCGCACCACTAAGCCGATGTGAAAATGGAAAAAAGGCTTCGAGATTGATCGCAGGTGTGATAAAGGAACCTCGAAAAACCGCAGACGAAGCACCATGTTCAGATCGTTTTTGTACTCTTCAGGAACGTAGCCTCGGACATCGGACAGCCCCCTTCGCATCCTCGTACTTGGGACAAAACTCCTTTCAAAGGGCTTTCAGGGACAACCTGGCAAAGAGAACTAGTAAGGGAATCTTTAGCATCTAGGCTTTGAGGGGTCTAGGTTTCGACAGGTGGACCCATATCAGCCCAAATTCACAACTGAAGTGTTTCGAGAGATGTAGCAAAAGGATGTATTATGTGGCCCCCCCCTATGGGTCCCTTGCGGTCTCCTGTGGGCTAGTCCGATGGAAGGAATACTAGGAGCTGAGGGCAAACTGCGGTGAAAAAATCCGAGGAAACTCATGATTCTCCCTGTTCCCCATCCACTTAGAGAAAAAGAGACACGACGATGTCCTGCGTCCCGTACGGATGGAACATGATGGAACCGGGTTTTCCCCCGTACCTCAGCGAAAGAAGACGGTACTTTGCATGGAAGCCAACTGTCAAAGACCAGTTGCATACTGCATACCCCTTAAATGTTACTTCCAGGGTATGTAAACTGTCTCTTACTCTTCTGGTCGTTGAAGATTGCCATCCACAAGAACACCCTGAGGATAGTTCAAATCACCACGTCGACTGGAACGGTCCCAAACATTCGCGGCGGCACACATCTTTTTCTCTCGTGGGTATTGGCTTGAAGCAATGCTGCTGATGGACAAGGGCTCCTGCATCACCTATGACCTTATCGAACTCAATCATGTCTTATCGTCGTATCTGCCTAGAAATTTTGGATCGTTGGGGGTCACTCTAAATATAATCTAAGCACTAGTCCACACTGAAGTATCTGAACACCTGATCAGTCCTTGGTCGATTCCTCCGTCAACATTCCCCCAGTGGCGTCAGGAGACCTCTTGGGTCATCGGTCAAGCGGCTCCGATGCCGTCCTTGCTCTGTTCTCGCCCTTGCTCTCCTTCGGGGACTGAATTCAACGCAGGAGCTGCAGGAGCCCCGGCAGCAGGCACCGGCGCGGGGGCAGCCGGTGACGATTTCCTTCGGGTCATCTTTGGACTCGGCACAGCTCGGGCACCGCGCGGACGAAAACCGGCACGGAATCACCGTGTCAAAACCAAATGGGTGAGCCCTGAGTCATTATGGCACATGCAAAGGTCCAGGAAGATGGAACACTCACAGTCGATTGGATGTGTGTCCCTCTCACCTTCTTCGCCGGGACACCCATTCGTAATATTAGCTCTGGTGCTGAGTGCTTCAAATGGAGGTATTCGGCCACCGTGAAGCCCATGGCGGGCTTTGCGTAGGTAGCCATCACAACCGCCGCAACCCATGTCTTTCCGCCCGAGGTCTTTCAAAGTAATATCCATTGATGTTCAAAACTTAAAACGTCTCTACCAACAGGAGTCTTCTGTTCTCTCGGGGCGTGGGGCGCAGACGGGCGTCTACAGCTGGTTCAGCGGAATGTTCCGCCGATGGCCGCTCCGCGGCGCGGCTCCCGCGGTGACGCCGGACCGGGTCCGGACCGCGGACGGCGTTCGCTCATTCGACGGGTAAAGGACACGTGCGTGGACACCCAATCATCCTCTTCCGGCACTCACAGGTCTGGGCGCACTGCGCACGTAGCCCTGGAGGGGGGGGGCCGGTGGTGGAGACCGGTGGCGTGATGGACGGGACTCCCCCTGTTGAAACAGCTGCAAGAACCGGCACCAAAGCCATGGATCCACAGTGTCTTTGGCAGAGAATCTGCCAAGAAACAAGATCGTGGTTGCAAAAGAACTGGGACACCCTCCTGGTGTGATGAACCGACATCTTCAGGTGCAGAATTGGACCCTTGAGCGTGACAATTGTGGCGCAAAACACCCTGGATCCAAGCTGTTCCAGCCCAGCCGTCCCCTTTTCCTTACACCGTGGGATTACACCGTCCAGCCATATTCGCATGGGGGCCCTCAGATCCAGAAGCAGCAAATGCCATAGGAAAGGAAAAAGAACATCAATGGGCCCTTGGATCTGGGGCCCTTGGATGTGATGGTCGGGATGGGCCTTTTCTTGGATCGGCGGGTGGAGAGGATCGACAGGAGACATCGAACGGCCAGGCCGTGGGAGACGACCCCCGTCCTGCGTTTCAAGCCATAGTATGGACGATCGTATTCCTCGACAGGTTCTACTGTCCTGTCCGATTTCCACCCCAAACACGCAAGACCAGCCCGCGGAGGACAGGAGTGCCTCTGAAATCATCAAATTCCTGAGCTCGGAGGACACAGAGTTCATCTCATGAGGATCTCATGGGCAATGAGTTTGGGTGGAAGTTAGGGTGCCAAAATGGTCCAGGTGTAAATCGTCACACCAATGATTTAGATCCCTCTCGCACACGCACCAAAAAAAGAATACCACCCAAACTTGACTTGAGGCCAATAGGACAGCTACTTTGCTGTTTAGATCTTTATCCTTCTTTGAACTGACAACTGGACTACATGACCATGTCGCAGTCTAACCACCACCCACTGAAGACCACGGAATCAGAAAAACACGAAAAAACACATCAACCATAGCACCATACAGCTACTAGGAACAAGTGCATCGCTTCTAGTAACAAGTGCCTTACTACTAGTACAGTAACAAGAAGTAAATGGAAACAAGAATTCAATAGAAACCATAAAGCTATTGGAGGCGCCACTGGACCCGGCTCCGGTGACTCCAGTCGTCCCTCAACACGCCAAGCTTCACTCCGATCACGGCAGATGCGGACACCTGCGGTGGGTTCCGGTGAGCCGCCCCCCCCTGGGCGCTTCCTGTTTGTGGTGATGGTGTGGAGGTAGAAGCTGCAATCCTTTCGCAAAGGTCCAGACCGCGGCTGCAATCATTTTGGGTTCATGTAAGCCTGCCCCCGAAAAAGATCCCTGAAAAGGCCTCTTCCTATTAGAAAACCACAGAAAACCCTCCACCGAGAACAGAAAGAACGCCTCCGGATACCACCGCTCTAGGATTTTGGATTCAAACCCTTACGAAAGAAAAATAATCGACTTCCCCTTTTCAACTTGAAACCAAAACGGATCTGTATTTGTTCCATGTTCTTCCTTGCGGCTCGTTCTTCTTCGTTCTTCTTCCGATCGAATCCACCGCGTCCGTCCCGAGCGTCCAACATCGTCCCCCACCTGTGAGATCCTTGATCTCCGATGAACCGAAAAAGGCACAGCCAGTCAAGCCCCGTGGATGAGGAATTCCAAGACCTCACGGTGGAGAGAGAGAGAGAGAGAGCGCTGAGCACGCGCTGATGAAACCAACCACGATCGAAGACGAGCATCCAATTTTTGTTGGGAAAAACCGACGCAAAAACGACCGGCGTGACGGGTGATCGCTCACACGTCCGCACGCGTGACGGGTGCTGGAAGGGTCGGTGAGGGTGCCGGATGTGACAGTCAAAATGGGGGTTTTACAAAAGCACCACAAAAAATATGACCCCTACGTTAGATACGGCCCTGGGGGGGGCCCTCAATTCGGGGAATCCTGCTTCACGCACCAAATTCGGACAACAGACCGTTGAACCGTCCACAGCGAGAAAGGCATTGGATCCGACCCTCCTTCCAACGATGCTCGGGCGCCGCCAGTACGTCGCTCCAACAAGTGCCAACCGGGGACCCCTGGCCCAGGACCGACGGTAGGGATGGTGAATGGAGACACCCCGAATCATGTCTAAGTGGCTTTTGATAGACATGGAAGGGCGGACTACCCGGCGGGAAGGTGTGCGGAACCCGGCCTATGGTCCACTTGCCTTCCACCACGTCATGCACCCAGCCGAGGGATGCATAGTGTTCCACTGCCAGGTCCAAGCTCAAAGTCTTGTTGGGACCCTCAGTGCCAAGAGTCAGACAGAGAGAGAGTCAGAGACGTGAAGTAGTAGCTTCTTGCTCCGTTCGTAGCGATGCCCTTTGCTCCTAGAAGCTTCTTGTTGCTAGTAGTAAGGCCAGGAGCCCCGTTCGTAGCGTCCTTGCTCCTGGTGAACAGGAATTGCTTCACTGGTGTGAAATGAAGAGGTGACCTTCGGTCGCATGTCACAGTGAGGCTGAAACATGAGGCCGGTCTCGAGGGCTAAACCAAAACCTCCACCAATGACCCGTGCTCAGCGAACATCGGAACGGGGGACCTCTCCACGGTTTCGGATGTGCATCTCTCCACGGTTTCGTCCCTTCCCAGAGACCGGAGCGTGCGGACCCGTCCCCAAACCGGCACCGACCCTTCCGTGTGGTTCTCCGCGTCGCTGGAAGCAGGTCCCAGAAGTGCTCCTCCGGGTGTGGGAGGGGGGGGCGGCACGGGAGTTTGGTGGGGGGGTGGTGTGGCTGTTTGGACTCGACAGTTGGTCACTTGGAGTACAGTACAGCCATAGGAAAAGGCTGAAAAGAAGGCACATTCATCAGGTGCTGCGGGTTCTTCTTCAAGACGTTCACTCGGCACCGGAGGAAGGGGCGGGTCTCGTGACACCCCACGGATCCCCACGGTCAGGCTGTCTCTTTGAGATCGAAGGACTCGGAAGAGGTCCCGAAGGACTGCCCACTCATGGGGGAGTTATTAGACTGCCCACTCCCCCATGAGTGAGCAGTCCTTCGGGACCTCTTCCGAGTCCTTTGGGACTCTTCTTCTGAAACGCCTAGAGAGGTGGTTGAACGGGCACCCCGAGCCTCTCCCAGGATCGGTCGGTCCAGCGCCGGTCCGCGGCCAAGGCGACCCAAACACTCCGTGGGTATTTAACTATAATGATATCGGAGATGAAAAGTCGGCGCTTTCGATGTCTTCCAAGTGGTTTTTGAGGTTTGGGTGACTGACCGGGATGACGCTTCACAGGTCACGGGTTCACTCCTTGTGATTCAAGAGTTCATTTCACCACACCCTCAAGAGTTCACGTGGACAAAACCGCTACCAACTTATTCCTCCCCACGTGACAAAACCGCACCAAACCCACTGAGCATCCGGACCTCTAGTTGCTTTCGGTATTGCATGATATGAGCATCTTTCATCTCCTCCCCACGGCCCGCTGCGCACAAAACGACCGGCTAGCGATGGAAACGACCCCTGTTTGGAGAGCATGGATCAGAAGAATGAACAGAATTCACTCAGAGCATCAACTCGTTCTGCTGGTTCTGGGCTTGTACAAGCCAGTCCGGCTTGTGCAAGAAGCTGGAGAACATGCCGCGCAAGAAGTTCTCAACGTAGGGGTCATTGATGAAGTGCTCCGGTGTCCAATCCTTGGCCAGTCCGACGGACGAAGCCACCGAAGAAACAGCCGGGCCCGCTGATCGAGGGGATCTGTCCAAAGCTCCATCGTCCCCTCGGTACACAGTGTTTCAAGGATCTGTGTGGTGAATTCCTCGGAACATGAGGGGCTTGCGCCTGCACGCTGCTGGCCAACTGGGGGATCCCATTGCTGAGGACAGATGTACACTGCCAGTCCAAGTAAAACCCATACAGTAGATGGATGCATGAATGTCTTGTCTGTGGAGAAAAGCAGATCAAAGAAAGCCAGGTTCATCCTCTACTTTATCAGCTACACACATGGGGTGAACCCCATGTCAGTATAAAGTCATATCAAATCTCCCTCCAACGATCATGGTGACGCGGATGACCAGTTGGAAAAACCCATGGAATCCTCTACAGTGGGTTCAGAGTAGATGGCACAATCCCCAAGTTTGGTGGTTCAGATGGACCTATCTACAAGACGTGTAGGGGTTGTGCCATCAAGTGCCATCTACTCTGAAACCACCACCATTTCAGGTCCCCTCTCCGGACATTTTGTCGGTGGAGCTGCAAAACAGGCTTCGGAAGCTCCCAGAAGATGCCGAACATCTCACCCACGGTCTTCCGCAGAAATTGGTGAAGTTGACATGGGGGAGTTGACATCAGTTTGGGAATGAGAGAGTATCAAGTTTGGGAATAAAAGAGGTTCTTGAAAACCAAGAGAGATTACAGTAAGTACATCTTGCAGGACTCTTCTGACCCGCCGTTGTGGCCCCAGTCAGCTCAACCTAAAGAGCAATTGACCAGTTACATAAAGTGGTCGAGAACGCCACTGTGCGGTCCACTCTGCATCCACTGTAGGGAAATTTGCAGACTGTGGAATATTACCATCATCACCACTGCTGAAGAAAGAAAGAACTCATATCTTGGCAGGACTAGCCGCTATTTACGGACTTTCGGGGTTCTTTCCTATCTCCTGTGCTGCGGGACCTCTTCCTCCAACCAAAAACCAATCACAAAACCCAACTCCCGGGCTCGGCCTCCAAGTTTCTTCACAGGGTGCATTGTGCAAGGCGGGCGATCTCAAACTGCCGCGCGGCGATTGCCGGGCGATCGCACCGCGATCGCACCCGCGTGGACGCGGCGCCGTACGCTGATCGCGCCGTACCGATCTAAGGGGCTATTAATAGATACCCGCTTGGGGTGGGCTGGTATAATAATATAGAACATGAAATGGTTGGTCTGTGTCCTGTGGCCAAACCCCTTGGGGGGTCAGGTCGCATGTCTTCCGCTGGACAAGCTTCGATTCGGTGTCAAATCCGTTCAAATTCATCGCACACAAAACCTTCACATTAAAATGACATGACATGACTGTGGGTCAAAACCCCTTCACCCTGCTTGACCGCTGAAAATAGACCATTAAACAGCTTCCCTTTCTCGGCCCCCCCAGTGGCACGGCCATCGAACCGGTGGGTTGGGCCGAAAAAACACCGAGACCGCCTCTTCCACACGCAGAGCTTCGGGCATCCGAAGGCCGTGCTGGCAAAGGCGCCGGCGGCGGGGTTCATGGCCTCGGTGAAGAGTTTGGGCCTCCACCGGGGCACTGAGCGAGGAGCTCTCGGTGATGAGTTGGCTTGGTGCCCCTCAGGCGAAGGAAGAAAGACGTTTGGACAAAATACATGAGGTGGGGACCTGCTCATGCCAAAATGAGCTTCGGAAAGGCCTGCCAGTTGTGAAGCTCAGATGCAGGGCGAAGCTTGGGATGTGCCTCCTATCCGATCATGCCTGGTTGGTGTTTCCTGCAGTTCGACTATATTTGGCACCCCCCAAGCAAAGGAAGTTCCTGGACTCGGGTCACCAAAAGACAGACCATGTCTAAAATCGTCTTGGACGTATTCCAGGGTGTTCTCCAATCTGATTCACCTGGTTTTGGGGCTTTTGCATGCTTTGGAAGTTTGAAAGCTTAAACCCAAGTCAAACGATTGAAGGAGACTTGCCAGTTCGGATGGGCGGTCTTCTGAAAGGATCCAACTTCTCACCCCGAACCTTCTTCGGATCCTCCCCCTCCTGGGGGAGTCACGTCTCTCACCCAGTGACGTTGTCACAACCGCAGGTCTCAGGGCACAAAGCGCGCCTCGGAGCGGCACGCGCGAGCTCGACCGAGCCCTTTCGACTCCACTCGGCGCCGGGGCGGAGAAGACCGGGTTTGGGTGATTTTTGCACCTCCACACGTTCCCTTTTTGCTCGAAAATCCGGGAAAACGCCAAGGGTTTGGCAGACCCGTTGAGATGGGCCGAGACCCAAAGAACTTTTTGGGGTGTGCCTTGGCTGCTTAGCTCAAAACTTCCAACTCCGCTTGAGCAGGTCGGGTTCCCCCGCATGACGACAGGGTGAGACAGCTACTCCGGCCATGGCGCAGAAGTTGGGGATGCGGGATGGTGATCATTTCTTGGGCCACGGGTTTCCAGCACGGGTTTCGGAAACGGACAGTCGAATTTGTTTCCGGCATGGGGACCTTGGATGTCAGCGCATCAAGCGGTCACGTAGATAAGGTCGAATGAAAAAACGTTTGGATCAATTCCTCTTCACGAAGCCAAGAAGCAAGGCGGTCATGTTCCTGGGCCGATGGCGACCAAGACGTCCGGCGACCACTCCGATCACTCGGATGGCCCCGACGATGGCCCTCGTGCCCCCCCCTCATGCGGCATCGGACACCGTGACAAGTCCACCTGCACCGTGACGAGTCCACTCTGAATCCACACCCCACCATGGATGGGTCACCCACCATCGTTCACCCACCATGTAGTTCGACAGTCGTGTGGATGCGTGGCGTGTGGACCGACACCGAGGTTGTGGATTGACCTGAAGGATCCTGAAGGATCATCTCTGGTATCCGGTATCCGAGTTGAACCCGACAGCCTACACTGGTGGATGCTACGTTGCGGACTCAACCCGTGCTCAACCGATGAACTGCACCAGCCAAGGAACTTGCTCCTTCATAAAACCCCTCGCATCACCAAAACCCAGCTGTCTAAACAGAACATTGAATGTGAAAAACGACTCCTTCACAGGAAACCATGCACGACTCCTTCACTCAGCTTTCTTTCTGTGGCCACAAGAGGTCTTTCAGCACCAGAGTCCCGAGTCCCGAGATGTGTCTTTTCGTCTTTTCTCGGTGGATGAAAGAAGCTTGAGAACCTTCAATTCAGTGACTTCTCAAGCTTCTTCTTCACCCCGTCTCTAACTGAACTACACCCCTCCATCGGTTCCGTGCCCTCTCGACCACGCCTCCAGGCACATCGCGCCAGATCCACCTGAGCACATCGCTCCACCTGCGCGACCTCCAAGAGCTGTGGCCTCGCGCCAGCAGCAGCGGAGACGGAGGCGGAGGCGCAGACGGAGCAACTGATTCTTCTTTATTGGAGATCGTAGGCTGGCTAGACCAATGTGCAAAAAAGGTTTGAGGAGATCACCCTTGTGCGTTTCAATGGTGGGAGGCACCTGCGCATGCGACACCTGGAATGGGACGATCGGAGATCACCATCGACCTGGAAGATCGTCGGGTGATCCCGCCGATGTCTCCTAATGATCCGCCCATGTTGATGAGAACAGACACGATTTACTGTTCTTATGGTCATCTCAAAGGGTGTCCACTGTCCACATCTCTCTTGCAATAGGCTATCTGATAGAACTGGCTATCTGCTGCTATGGGCCATCTCTCCTTGATTGAATTCGAGTCAGACCCGGATAGCAGTCTTGCATGCCCAAACATCCAAAACCCCTTAATAGAACTGGTGCTTCAAGGTGCCCAGCCGTTTTTAGAGCCTTTTTTCTTAGGGAGCGTTCCTGAAAAAGAGACTGACTTGTCCGATCCAGTTTGGGTTCCCCTCCTCCACAGTTCAAATTTCGAGCTTTTTCAGAGCATATCAGTGTATGGAGGACTGGGATGGAAAAACATAACCTTAAAACACACCACAACAACAGGGAACCAGTAACCACAGGTTGCGTCCATGGCGCATGTCCATAAAGGGATAGGTAAACATACTTGAATCGAAGCTTTGCCCAAACATTTGGGCAAAGGTTGCAGCCAGCAGGGTAACTTCCTATATCATACTGTCTGGAAAAACTACATCACACACCATTGATTGATGCAAGGGGCCCGGATACAAAACTTTAGGGGTTGTGCAAGCAGTTCTTGTATCCGGGTGTATCTGCCATCCGTCTGACCGATGGTAGGCAGATCCAGCGCTTGCTCTGTGGAATGTGACCCGGAGTGTTTCGGAGTGACCCGGCGACTCGAACGAATCCCCCGAACAGGTGACCCACTGTCCATCGAACGAACCCGTCCAGACGTGCGGGTTCAGCTGCGACGGTTCTCGAAAAAACGGGTGTCTTGCTGGCCAAGCGTGGGTTCCGATATCTGGATGACAACGATGAAGCAACCAAGAGATCGGAGCTATAAATGGTCTGCTTGCTGTTGGAACAAATCTGAGCGGCCTGTTCTCAGGTGTAGAACATGAGAATATCTAGACTCCTCTTGCACTTCCAGTTTCTGTGGATCGCTTTGCCATGCTTTGCCATACGCCGGCTCGAAAAAGCCCTCGTTTGGCGTGGAACACGGCCTGATCACCGATCTGGGATAGGACTCATCCATGCATGGCATATTGCCAGCTTGGTCTGTGACATCCTCAGGACAAACGACCGGACCGACAGGTCAAAATGTGAACTTACCAGATTTGGGGGTTACTCCTGGATTTATCCCTGGCCGTGGATGGATTTATCTCGAGATGCTACATGACATTCGGAAAGTCCAGCTCGCTCATTCGACTTCAACTGGATCTTCCGAGACTTCGAAAGCAGAAACGGTTGGTTTCGATCGTTGGCCAAAGCGATGACACATCGAAGAAAACAGGCCAGGCAAGACATCTCCCTCTTTTTCATCCCTCGCGGAGGAAAAAGGAGTCGTCCCTGGATAAACCTTCGGAACGTGGGCAAAACAGGGAAAGCGTGGACCATCTCTGCCGGGCGGTTTGAGACCATCTCTGTGCTGCGAGGTCCACAGGATTGGTCCTGCGACGTCGCTCGGTCAACACGCGAGGAGCCAAAATGGCGCTTGGAATCCAGGCTGTTCTTGGCACCTTGCGGCACTCTAACAGAGGCGGCAAACCTTTCACCAACCAGCTGACAGGAGTGGCCAGGTGTGCAGCTGACCGGACCGGATCTTGCCTAGGTTCTTCTACCAACTCCGGAAGTGTTTGGTCCTCATGTTCACCTCTGATATAGCAACATTGATATACATATATAGGGCCTAGGTTGGAGGCCATCGCTAGCAGGAGTACAGGGGCTGGGGGCGTGTGGTCACTCCATGTACAGGCAGTTCGGCGAGCTGTTTTGCGGGGACCGTTGCACGACCGTTGAACTTTCGACCAGCGGCAGACAGTTCAATAGCTTCCAACAAGTTGATGATGTTCATGCTGGGAGCATCCTCAGCTGGATAGAGGTCATCCGGTGCCTGTAGATTTGGGTGGACATCAGAATCTATTTCTGCAATCACCAGGTTCCAGTTAAAAAGGGCAACTCTCATTCAGTTGGATTGGCTCGTTTCCTCACAAGACCAACACATTTGATGAAGCAGAATCATGTCAGCTGTGCCTTCGGCTGCGTTTGCTTGACTGGGCAGACGAGAGATTCGGCAGTGACCTAATGCCTAACCCCGTCATCCCCCATCTACATACCAAATCACATTCATCTCCTTAGTTTGCTGACCGGCGCATGTTTTCACCCCAATTTTATGGGCTTCAACCCAAGCCCGTGGCTGGGACAAATCCACTGAAACAGCTAGTCAGCTGGTCACACCAAGCACCCCAAGTTTGTTTGTTCGGCGGAACAGGTGCCACACAAGCTCTGATACTAGTGCAAAATTGCATCAAAGCTTGCTGTCCCTGAGTTACCTGAGAAGAACGAAAGCGAGGTGACATCGAACGTCACCCACACATTCAATACACATGTGCTGTGTACTACTCTAGGGTGGTAATGATGCTAGTGATGCAATACTTAAGTCACCTTGCATCTTCTGCCTCAACAACCCACCAAAAATCATATCTATGAAAAAATAAAGATAGAAAAACACCGGTTTACATATACTTTACCCGTCTGCCCCCCCACCCCCTTAAAGACTCACTCTGTTCGCATAAACGAACTTCAGCCCAGCCTGTCGGCTGGCTTTCATCATTGAGTCATCGTTGTCTGCCATTTCCAGGGGCTGGCCAGCTGAGGAAATCGATCGAGCTATTAAACCATGGCACCGGTGGGCCACGAGTCAAACGGAAAAAAAGAAAAAAAACGCCGAGCGACGGACAAAGGATCCTTTCGATGCATGGCAGGGGGTGCATCCTCCCAGAAGTCCTCCAACTGTGCCTGCCTCGAGTGAAAAAAGATGCGCGTGAGTTCAAAGCTCGACCCTGTCGACCTCAAAGATTCGCTGGACAAATGGTTGATGATTCTCTCTTTCTTAGCAGCTTTTCATGGCTTTTCATGCCTCAAAAAGGGAGACCACGCCTTGGCACGTCCGGTTGAGTTTAACCGGCAAGCTAGGCACCCCAAGACACAGCGCATCCCGTACTACAGCACCACTCAAAAGAACACACGGTCACTCTGGGAGCAAGCTAGGAGAACTCCAAATTCCTCACTTGATCTTTCTTTGCTCTGGAGACACGCTTTACCCACACCGCACCCCTTTTCACTTCAAATGTGTGTCTTTTTATATAGTTCTTGAAGTCTTCTTGGTGTCTCGGGCATATCGCTTCAGTTCCAACATCAGGGGTTCTCTATCCACGTCAAGTGTCTTGGCTGAGATGTGTGTTCTCCGCCCCCCCCGGTCTGCTTCGGGTGACGTCACGTCCCACTCGGGCACCGTGAAGAGGACAGGGTCCGCAATTCCTGACGGACCGGCGCAGCCCGAGCCGCGGTCGGAAGCTGAAATGGAAGCGGCTCGTAGGCCAAAGAGTCTTTCAATTGTTCAGGTTCACTGTCACCTTCGATGCTTAACTTACCTGGTCCAAATGCTATTGATGCCCATGAGTGATGATTGCTCCACCCACTGGGATGAAGGAGGCGTGCATAGCTACGGCAACCAACCTCAGCTGAGTGATTCAGTTTTGTTAGAAGTTGGCTAACGGTTAATTAGGTTAAGCATGTGACAATTCCCACATGTATAGACTGTATAGACTAGAGGTGATCTTCTTTTTGCTCCTCATCGTGTAAGCTCAAACGATGGAGTTTAAGTCACCGTCTGAGGATTCCTGATCGATTGTTGGATTGTGCTGAATGTGAAGATTCTGCTGCAAACAAGAACCACACTTAGGTCCTGGTCTTTTCCTTGGAAGTGGAATGGCCACCATGTTTTTACCATGCTTTTCTACAAACAGGGTGGTGAAATCCGCTTCCATGAAACAATCCATGTATCATAGAGATTGCCAGATGTCCCCTCATGTCAGTGGGCTCAGTCGTCTCACCATCCTCAGAGGCCCTCGCAATTGGTGCCATGGTTCCTTCGGATGGAAACTGTGGACACTCTGTGAACACTGCCCCACTCCATCTTTTTTCATGAACCCATCCCAAAGACTCATCGAACGGCAAAGACTCGTAGAAGAAACCAGTTGAGAAATATCAACCCAAGAGTCTTGAGGGGGGAAAAAAAGAGAAGCTTATGAAAATAACAACAAAAAGCATCCCATCAAGGCACTCACCCGGAAGGCACCCACCCATCGTTTCCACCGTTCGAGCGGGCACCGCGCGGGATCTGCGGTCGCCCAAGCGTCGCAAGACCGTGCGCTGCTCGCGCGTCAGATGCTCCGGCGCCTCCTGGTGGGGTGAAGAGACTAGGCCAAAAAACGTTGCAGACTTCGAGACTTCGCCATTGGTCTGTCGATGGAAAAAGACCGTTGGAGAAGGTGGATGGTTGACTTCTGCTGGTCCTTTCTCACTTCGGTGCTTTGGGTTGGTGGATGCGTGAGGAAGAGAAATCTGGTGCCCTGCTTTTCCCAAAAAGAATTGACTTTCAAACACCTCCAGAACCCCAGGTAGAGATGTCATGTTGATCCCTGAACACCGCCCCGAGGCGCTGGAGCCATCAATGGACAGTTGGAACGAACATCTGTGACCAACAGCACATGGGGATGCTGCTCCTCAAGGCGTTCACCTCATCAGCGGCCCCGCCCGCCGGAAAGCCGTGAAGGCTTGGGGCAGTCATTGCTGGAAGAACACTTGCCTATTAGGCACCCAAAAATGTTCACCAGCTGAAGTCTTAGGGCAAAGGGAAAACATATGAAAAGATATGTTTCTTATATATATATATATACCCCTCAGAACTCTTGGCTCAAGTCCCCAAGACTGTTCAGGGCCAATCCCAGATATAAACCATTTGGGAAGACTGAACCGTAGAAGAGTCTGATCCCCGGTTATGCCGATGACCGTGAGACCCGGATGTTGTCCATGGCAGGTGCGCAGGACCTCTCCCCAGCCGCACCACACCCACCCACCCGAACCAAATCCTCAAGGCCGCAAGGCCGCGGTTCCTCGAAACTCTTGGTCGTTTCGATGATGCCAGTGGCAGGATTCACCTTGGAACCACGTGGGAACCACATCCAGTTCGGTTTGATCGTGACTCTTGGGTCACAACGGAGTGATCAGTGATCAGTTGGAGTGTTCTCGGTGAAAACACTGAACAATTGAGATGTGTTAGTCACCAGGATCCTGTTGGATCGTGCCATATGTGATTCGTTCAAAAGAATCCTCAACACAAGTTGGATCACAATAAATGAGAAACTCTTTAGAGAGTCATTGATCCTCTACATCAACCTGATGTGAGCCGTGGATGAAATGCTGGCCAATCACATGTTTCTGAGGCTGGCCACATGTGGAGGGCCCAGAAATAAATAAGTAAAACACTGAAACACGCGTCCAAAGCAAAAATGCAGAGAATAGCATTCTTTGTGAATTGTCACCATCTAGTGGTTTAGTGGTTTCAAATATCACCCTTCTGTCACCGTCGAGTGGATCAAGCGCTCGGCGATGGCGTTGTTTCGCCTTCATTCGCAGGCTGTGGGAGTTTGGGGAGGAAGTGCATCGACCTGCACCAGACCATCTTCAACGACCTGCTCTCTTCGTTCGGTTCGACCAAGTGTGGCTTGAGCGAAGCCCACCTGGCTTGCCCACAGTCCTGCCGAGACACCGCGAAGATGAAATCCTTCCTGCCAGGAAGGCTGTCACGCTCAAAGGATTAGGTGATTAGGGGCGCTGCACGTGCTTCGTTCTGACGGATCACTGAAAAGAAGGAAAGCACAGACAAGAAACACCCTCAGGACAGGACACCATGCAAGGCTGATCCAAAAAGTAACGAGGTACGACGAGCGACAGAGCTTCACTCGAGGAGATGACGGGCAGCTGAGAGTCCTTGTGATCTGAACAGGATGTTGGTCAACCGTGTTTAGTGATGCTGTCAAGCCACTTAGGGCAGCTTCACAAATGAAGGTCTACACGGACTCAACCGGAGAAAATGCGTGAAATATGCAGGAAAGGAGCTCTTGTAAGTATCACCTCATCTCCGCTTCCTGTTGTTGTTCCAGTTGTGGAAGGCGGTTGCATCAACCTGTTACTGTCCATACGTCTCTTCTGAAGCACTGAAAAGGATCGTTTTTGTCCGCTTTCTCTCCGGTCTCCAACTCCACGGGGAGAAGTGTCACGTCCATACAAGCCCAAAGCACCATCCGCGGATGTGACCACAGGACTGGAATAGTTACCAAAAACCGCGAGAAAAAAAAAACACACCAAAAAAACAAGCTCCGACCCATGAAGAGGGACTGAGGAGACGCTGGACAGGGGACATAGGTCTGAAGTTGTTTTGATTTTTCTGTTGTTGGTTTGTCCATTGCTTTTGATGAGCTGCTTTACTTTTGCTAATGCTTGCATATCACTGCCCTCACAAAAACGCGCGACTCTACAAGCTTCACCACTCCACACCCCATGAATACCCCTTCTTCTTGATATTTACTACTGTTTCTTTATTAAGCCCGCTCACCCCCCTCCCCACTAGGGAGAGGTAGCTACTAGCTACTAAGACGCTAGTAGTATGGACGCAGGATAGCTCACGGGCCCGGGGGGAGCTTCCTTGAAGAAGCGCTGGCACTAATGATTTGGTTCCTAGATGTTTAGGGAACTTAAGAAATGTTAAAGAAACCTTGTTACTAGTAGCAATGCCCTTGCTACTAGTAGCAATCCCCTTGCTACCAGTAGGGGGAGGAGTGGGCTTTGGAACAAACAAAAAACACTTGTTACTATTGGAATAGATTATGTATTATTATGTTAATACATCACTGGAATAGTTTTCCATCTACCCCATTATGACCCTCCATGTAGGTCGCTCTTCCAGTCCTCCCCGGTATCCCAGACTGGGTGGCCGTGCTCGCCCCCGCAAAGGATGTTGATTGCTAATTGAATCCTGCGCCAGGCCGGCACACTGGGGGCAAGTCATGGGTAGAGGGCACCAAAAGCATAGGTCGCTAGAGGAAACTGCTTGCTGAGCGTCCAACTTGAAATTACCTGTGCATCTATTGACAAGCAAAATGCCTCTCTTCGTTTAACGAGCAGAGATTTTAGTAGAGCAAGCTTCTATGCAAAGGTTTGGATGGACGGTGGATGCTTCGTGCGAGTTGGCCATGTCAAGGTTTTCACCAGTTGATACAGGCTGCAATCGTGAGACCGAAAATGGTTCCAAGGATGGTCCGCCAACATCAAATTCTCACACCGATGGGGGACGATGATGTCCAAAATGACACATGGGTGTGCAGCTTGTCTTTGAGGAGCTGTTCCGGGAGCAGAGGTCTGCCGAACGGACTGGCGGGACGCCGGAAGATTTCGGGACGGAAACAGGCTCCAACAAACGAGGGGACCGATAATCACGAAGATCGGAAGGGGCCCGGCGATATCTTTAAGAACATGCACGGCTATTGAGGAGATCTCAAGAAAGGCAATGAGATCTAAGCATGCAACAAGATATCATGTAACTTTGCTGCCCTTCTTGCTTGTCTCTTGTTTCTCAGTACGGTAAGCGATGTCTGTTCGACACCAACCATCGCTCGGAATCGCTCGTCCAAGACCGCACCGAAGTCGCGCCTGTGATGCAAAGGCCAGAGAAGCAGAGTGTATGCTGCAATCAATCCACCGACCAGCAGGAGAAGCTTTCTGAGTTGGCAGACGACAGATTTTCCTTCCTTCACCCGATCATACCTGTGCCAAGTTGAGCACCCTGGCCTTTGAGGGACATATTTTCGTTGGCCGGAAAGAAAAAAATATGCAGGAGTAGAGTAGATGGGTCCTTCGATTCAGGCGCCAAATGCTGGGCTCTTTCGGCAGCGACCAACCGGTGGCAGGCTAATCTGACGAACACGTTTGGGTGGGCAGGAAAGATGGACAAACGGTTTCATACGAAGAGAATGGTGTGTCTTTTGGGGCCTTTGATTTGTCTAGCTTAAGTTAAAGTTAAAGCACTTGTGGCAGCAGGCGAAGCTACTTGCTGGCCCTAGTCAAAAACACCTTCATGGGGATGGAAAATGGAGCGATGGAGACCACAATGGGTTACTTATGCTTGGTAGCTTGGTAAGGCTTGGTAAGCCATCGCGATCCCTTTTGAAATAGATTGAAAGCTGATAGGCTGATAGCACGCTAAGTTCCAGAATTGCCCATGCACGCACCAAAAACGAGTCTCAGTCTTAGCAAGTTTTGCCACACTTTCCATCTAACCCTGGGGTGAACCAACCGGTGTACTTAGCCTATAAAAGTTACAGTTCACACAAGTGAGATCGGAAGAACTGTTTCCTGGGCCTACTAATGGCCAAGCCATTCTCAAAACCTTAAAAACTTCGAGACCGGGACGCCAGTTGCGGTGTGTGTTTTCCTGTGTTTTGTTGCGGTTAAGTGGAAACTTACAGCTTTCGGGCTGGTTGCCACAAGAACTGCTCGAGTTGCCACCCGAACCGAACTAGTGCACCCCCCGTACCGCTTCGCAAGTGACAAGGCTCATGGTGCTCTTGAGTCGTTCTTGGACGCCAGCATTCATGCGGCCATACCCTGGCGAAACAACTGCAGGTGAGCTCTGGCACCCCTTTTTTTAGAATGCACCGAATCCAAGGCATCACTTCACGTAATCGTTTCGACCCAGTCGGCCAACCTGGCCCACCTTGTTCTTTCAGGGATTCCCACTTCCAGACCAATCCATCTTGGCTGAAACGAACCCGACTCGAGCCACAAACGAACGGTTGGAGGACACGAGGGACCGAGAAGATTCGGAGGGCGGTTTCCGCCAGAGCGCAGGTCAAAGAGGGACCGATTCTATATTCAATGACATTCAAAGTAATATAACAATTATAAATGTATATATATATATACATATATCATCTTATATCCATCCGTGGTTCTAGATATAAAGTGGTTGACTGTGCGAGCTGGGGTGGCCCAGGCAAATGGATATCAATTTACAAAGAATATCATGAAATTGTTGAAATTGTGAATTTTTGTTTTATGTATAGATTAGAGGCCACACAGCAAATACAACATTTGTCCATCTCTTCATACTTCGGCAAAACAAAGCAAAGCATGTAAAAGGTCTGCCCAAAAGTTTCAACTCCTACATGGGATGTTTCACCAATCACACACACGCTCGAAAACGGGTCGAGAACAAAATCAAAATTAGAACTTACAACTGATAGGTTTCCCTGAAAATCTAGGAGCCAAATGATTAGCGCGAGCGCTATCCTGTGTCCAGGGGTAGGAGCGTCCAGTACCTAGGGGCTTACTCCCTTAATTAAGTAGGCGCTCTCTACGTAATAAAGAGTAAGGAGGCAGGGCCACAAACTAAGGTATATATATCAGTAGTAGTAGTAGTAGTAGTAGTCGTAGTGGTAGTGGTAGTGGTAGTGGTAGTGGTAGTGGTAGTGGTAGTCGTAGTAGTAGTAGTAGTAGTAGTAGTGGTAGTGGTAGTAGTAGTAGTAGTAATAGTGGTAGTAGCAGTCGTAGTAGTTGTAGTAGTAGTTGTAGTAGTAGCAGAAGAAGTAGTAGTAGTAGTAGTAGGAGTCGGAGTAGGAGTAGGAGTAGCTGTAGTAGTGGCAGGAGTAGGAGGAGCAGCAGTAGCAGTAG